GGAGCTGAGGGGGCTCAGCCTGGAGCAAAGGAGGCTCAGGGCCCTTGTGGCTCTCACAGCTCCTGCCAGGAGGGGACAGCCGGGGGGTCGGGCTCTGCTCCAGGAACAGGGACAGGAGGAGAGGGAACGGCCCCAGGCTGACCAGGGCAGCTCAGGGGGACTCCAGCAGGAATTTCCCCATGGAAAGGGTTGGAGAGCCTCATCCACAGCACTATTACTATTAAAGGTATCACCTGCAGGACATTTGGAAGTGTGTCTGAACAAGAGAAGTTCTCAATGTTCCCATCTACAGAGCTCAGGTACAGCTTGAAGGACCCAAAGCAAACATCCAAGGGGAACATTTATTGTCTCAGCACGGCACCAGCCCCATTCTCACTCAAGTGAGCCCTGCACACACCTGAGGCAACTCTCACCACCTCACTGCTCAAGCACTCAACCTCACTCACACCAGGAGACAGCTCAGGGAACAGCAGTGAAACAAGTGAAAACAGGAATACAAAACCCACTGTGGTCCCTTCTGCCTTTGGCACCAGTGTTTTGGTGCTGAGAACTCTCTCCAGAGCCCAGCTCAGCAGCACAAAGCACCATGGCTGTGCTGAAGGCAGCTCTCCATGCTGTCATTTATTACAAACAGTGTAAACAGAGTGGTGTGGGATGCTGAAATCCCTGCTGGAACATGCAGAGGGCAGGGAATGTTCCACAGCTGGGCTCTTAACACTGGGCAGACTCCCAGCCAGGAGCAGGAGCAGGATGGAAGCAGTGGAGCCCAGGGGTGCTGGTGGGACAGGGGGTACCTGGCTGCTCCTGTGCTGCTGGAATGTGGCTCTGCAGGTGTTCCAGCAGTGCAGCTGTGCCCTTGGCCAGGGCTGAAGTGGGAATCACCAGGCTCAGGACTGAGGTGGGAATGGCCAGGGCTCAGGAGGATGCCCAGGGCCCAGGAGGATGCCCAGGGCTCAGGAGGATGCCCAGGGCCCAGGAGGATGCCCAGGGCTCAGGAGGATGCCCAGGGCCCAGGAGGATGCCCAGGGCCCAGGAGGATGCCCAGGGCTCAGGAGGAGTGCCCAGGGCTCAGGAGGATGCCCAGGGCTCAGGAGGAGTGCCCAGGGCTCAGGAGGATGCCCAGGGCTGAGGAGGATGCCCAGGGCTGAGGAGGATGCCCAAGGCTCAGGAGGGAATGCGGCTCCGCAGGTACTCCAGCACGGCAGCCGTGCCCTTGGCCATGCCAGGCTCAGGTGGGAATGGCCAGGGCTCAGGGCTGAGGAGGGCATGGCTAGGGCTCAGGAGGATGCCCAGGGCTCAGGAGGAGTGCCCGGGCTCAGGAGGATGCCCAGGGCTCAGGAGGATGCCCAGGGCTCAGGAGGAGTGCCCAGGGCTCAGGAGGATGCCCAGGGCTCAGGAGGATGCCCAGGGCCCAGGAGGATGCCCAGGGCTCAGGAGGATGCCCAGGGCTCAGGAGGGAATGTGGCTCCGCAGGTACTCCAGCATGGCAGCTGTGCCCTTGGCCATGCCAGGCTCAGGTGGGAATGGCCAGGGCTCAGGGCTGAGGAGGGCATGGCTAGGGCTCAGGAGGATGCCCAGGGCTCAGGAGGAGTGCCCAGGGCCCAGGAGGAGTGCCCGGGCTCAGGAGGATGCCCAGGGCCCAGGAGGATGCCCAGGGCTCAGGAGGGAATGCGGCTCCGCAGGTACTCCAGCACGGCAGCCGTGCCCTTGGCCAGCACGGCGGCGCGGGGCGTGCGGAACGGGTTCCCTTCCAGCAGCAGGCTCCTGCAAACAGGGATCAGTTACTGGGATAAATCTCCTTGTACCCCCACGCACTCTGCTGCACGCAGCTTTCTGAGGCCTTTGAAATTCCTGGGGAGTGCCTCTTCTGTGCTGCTAAAGGAGTTTGGGTTTCTGCTTCCCTCGTTCTCAGCAGCTGAGCTTTGACACAGCCGAGTTGTAATTCGTGCTGATGAATCAGGGGGGGTGTAGCACACAGCCCACTCCTTCAGCCTCTGCCAGGAGCAGCGAGGAGAGAACTTCTGGAATACAGACACAGAATTCCAGAGTGGCTCAGGCCAGAAGGGAGCAGTGGGGTCAGCTGGTCCGACCTCCCTGCACCAGCAGCGTGACTGGGAGCACAGCAAATGCCACCCCCTAAGGCTCCAGCACGAGCTTCACACAACCCCCAGACCCTCAACATCAGTCCTAATTGATGAAACAACTCCCACCATTCTCTGCAAAATTGAGGAATTAGGGAAGAGATTATGGAAGAAATTGCCCCGTTCTACAGATGGCCAGAGAGACCTTTTTTGGGCAGACCAAACCCCCTGCCAAAGGGTGTTTTTTCCTCTGGCAAACACTCCCTGAAGAACTTAGGCAGCAAATGTGTTTATAAGCAGGCCCCCTGGCCCCACACACCTGAGGTTCTCACAGTTGCCCAGCTCTGGGGGCACCTGGAGGAGGTCATTGTTCTGCAGGTCCAGCGTCCCCAGCTTGTCCAGCCCCTTCAGCTGCACAGGGTCGATGGATCCCACCTGGTTGTTGCTGAGCAGGATGGTCTCCAGGGCTGGGAGGCGATACAGGACACTGGGAAACACCTTAAATCTTCAGGAAGAGAAAGGAGGGATAGTCAGGAACAGGGCATTCAAAAGAGCAGCACTTCATGGGAGCTCCCAGCTCATTGAAGTGGCTCCTTGTTCTCACATCAAAGGAAAATTGTGTCAAACTCAGCCCAGCTCTTTTTATTATGGTATTTTAAAAAATCTAAAGAGTTACTCACCTGTTAAAAGCAAGATTTATTGTGTGCAGTCTTTTCAGTGCCTCCATTTCCTCAGGCAAGGCTGTCAGAACATTGTTTCTGTTATCAAAGAAAGGAAAAACAACAAGCACTAAACTTAGTCAGGGTTTGGTTGAGAATTCCCAGATCAGCTACAGAGTCTGAGGCCAGCTCACTGCCTCATAACAGGGGCAAGAACATGCCAGGGATTCCCATTTCTTCCAGAAGGACACTCAAAGCCTGTCCCCTAAAGATTCACAAGTATTCCCAAGCAGCCACCAACTGCACACACCTGACTGGAAATTTAGCAGCTTGTTCCCAGGGAAAAGCTTATCAAAGTGCCCAGACCCTGGAGCCAAAGTGAATCCGTCAGGTCACTCCAAAGACCCCCAAAATTAATGGATTGAGCTAATCCTGATCCAGGAGCATTTCTCAGGAATCAGAGGAGGCAAGGTGACAACAAGGAACCATCTTTTGCTTCTCCTTCCAGCAGTGCAACAAAATCTGCACCTTCCCTGTCCTAATTCCCAGGATATTTTGGTGTGGTTTTCTTCTGGGGTGTAGTGGGAGTGTTTTGAGATAGCAACATCTCAGAACCCTTCTCTGAGTGAGGCAGGATCTCTCCTCCAGCAGGTCTCAGAAATGGTCCATTTCTTTTTGTGTCTTCTTTAAGCAAGGCCCAAATTTAGGCCACGTCCTATTCTGGCTCTGGCACGGAGAGATTTTGGGAGTGAGAGATGATTTCAGTGCTGCCATCCCACTGGAACAGATGGCTGCTTTAGGGAGGCAGGCAGAGACGTTCCCAGGCAAGGAAGTGCAACACACATCACCAACCTGAGATCCAAATGTGTCAGCTTCTGGAGCAGGCACAGCTCCGAGGAAATGCAGGAGATTTTGTTGAAGCCCAGGCTGACATCACAAACTGAGTCTTTCAGCTCCACGAGCCTGAAGCACAAAAGGAAGATGCTCTCACTGTGGAAGCTCGTGGTTGCTTTGGAAGTTATTAAAAAACCTGGTTTATTCTACAAATCAAGGACACGTGGTTTTTTCTGAAGGGATTTTGGGGAGATCATCAATGTCACCTGTGAGAGCTGCTGCTCTTTCAGCCTTACATGTGGGGTAAGGCAAAGCCCAAATAATTTATCTGCAGTCACCAGATTGCATTTTCTCTCACAAACATTGCTACCAAAGCCTCTTCAGCAAATGCAGTCAGGAGCTGTTTCAGAGACCACGGCACAGGTGACATCACTGCCACCTCCTGCCCTGGACATGTTTTAACACAGACTTTACCCATCTTCTTCTGCAGCCAAAAAACCTGACCAAAAATCTTTCTTTTTTCTCATTTTTTGTTTCTGCTCCCCTGTTGTGCTGTTACAGACTCTGGGAGTACCTGCTGCTGCTTGCAGAAGGTTATTTATTGTACTAACACACTTTGGTGTAAAGGTTTTCACAGCTCAAAAAGTTCTCTGATGAATCCCTCAAACAGAATCTCTGGCTTAGCCCTGAAACAAGAGGAAATTACATGAGAAAATTCTCCTGTCTCCTGTCTGGATTGGCATGGAATGGAATTCTCAGGCAGCTGCACACTCCCCTACACCTATCCCACGGAATTCAGCAGCCCTCACACAGTGACACAGCATGGGATTCACAAGCAGCAGCTCCCAAAATTGAGTTCCTAGAAGCCTTTTTGTCCCTCTGGGATTGCACCTGCCCGAGCTGTCTGTGCCAGAGGTTCAGTGTTCAGCACACTTGGGAATAAACAGTCCTCAAAAACCACTGGGGATGATTTTTTTGGGGCTCCCAGAGATACAGCAACCTTCCTCCTGACACAGAGGGATTACTGGCTCCCAGCAGTGCCAGGGAAAGCTTTTCCTTGGCCATGGCTGGCCCCACAGCCCCACCTGCACACGAGTGCCTCCCCACACTGGGATCTGCGTGCAGATCAGGGCAAGAACAAAGGCAGAAGAGCAAATCCCAGCTGGGAATGGCCTTCCCCTTCCTACCTTGGGGGGATCTCCCTGAGCTGGTTCTTGCTGAAGTTCACGGTGGCCACGGGATTGGCGCCCACAGCATCGAACACGGCCTCGGGGATCTCGGCAGCCTGCTTGTCACTGGGACAGGAGTGACACCAATTAGCCACTGCCTGCTAATCAACAGGCACTTCCACCTTCTTCTAGAGAAGATGAAGAGCAGAGCACAGGGAACAGCTGCAGAAAACCCCCAGGGTTGCCCCATGCCCACCAGGTCACCAAACAGGATTTTTTCCCCTTTCCCAACACTTCCAGGTCCATTTAAGGAATAACTGAGCAGGCACTGCCCGGACCCAGTGAAAATAATAAAGAGCCTCAAAGGTACTAAAAGCACCTGCTGGGATTCAGCACTTCAATGAGTTACTGCAGAATATCTGATAATACAAAAAATAATTCAAACCCCACAATCTAAATCTGCCCATTCCCAAGCACAGGAAGCAGTAAAGGGGAAAATGCCCACGTGCAGCAGGTTTTTTTGTGGACAGCTTGGTGTATAATGAAAGTGGGGAAAAAATCCCACACACATAAAATAGGACAGTGTTCTTACTGCTTCAGGAATGGGCAATATTCCCAAATACCTGTATTCCAATAATTTCAGTGTGGTTATGGCGTGGATGTTGACCTTGGACTGGCTGGGAAGAGTCATGGCTGTCACAGGAGGCTCTTCATTGGGGCCAGGTCCATCATCTGGGGACACCAGAGGAGTGCAGGGACACAGCTGAGCTGCTCTGGGTGGCCCCAGGCAGCTGCCACCACCCCCCTCTAATCCTGCTCTACTGTGGCTCGACTCAAGATCATCAAATTCAGATTATTTCAACCATTTCCTAATAAAGGTTTTTTACCATCTTGCATTTGGGGGTTCTTTGAGGGTGAAGGAGGGAGAAGGGTTGACCTGGACTTTGCCAAGCAGGGCAGGGAGCACTGGAGATGTGATTCTGTGAGGCTCTGCTCCGTGGGGTAGGGAGCTGCAAACTACAAAAACCAGGGAATTCTGACTGGAAATGATGGCCTAGAGCAGCTTTAGCCACACTGGTACATCTGACCACAATTTCAGTTAAAGCATTAATGTTTACAAACCCTCCTCTATTAAGTTCCTTCCGATTACTCCCCACAATCCACATGAAAAAGCTCCTGCACACCTGAAATGGGAATTCCCATCCAGCTGAGCAATGTGAGTCTGGATTTGTGAAGGATAATCCTCAATTCAGAATGTTTATTATTCAGTATTAGCTAACAGGATAAGAAACTGAAGTATCACAGCAAACTGTTGAGCAAAGGAAATTACTAGTGCAGCATAACTGGGGGGACCTGTATTTAAACAACCATCTTCCCTAAATTCTAATTTACTTTAATTTCTTAGAATATTCTCTTTAAAATGAAGTGGAAGAAAGCAACATACCTTGGATTTTGCTTCTCAGATACTTCAGCAGTTCCTGGGTGCCTTTCTTTAAAATAAAGAAACAAACCCCAAGTCAGTCAGCAGTATCTGTGCAGCTGGGGGAACAATGCAGAGGGACAATGCCAGCACACAGGTGGAGCCCACAGCACTCCTGACTAAAAACCCACAGCAGCTTGGGAACTTGCTTAGTTATCACTTTATTTATTCCAGCTAAACATTTCTGATCCTGCATCACAGCCTCAGGCTGCACTTTTGTAGCTCTTTACGTGAAGATTTCTGCCACTTCCAAGAGCAAGTTAAAAAGTTGCAATGAGCTTAATTTTCCCTTTATAAAGCTCCAGCACAATTTGCTGTGGAGAGCACATTTACAGTTTGTCAGTGAAGCTGATTGCTCATTGTTTTGCTACCTTATTACGGGCCAAATCATAAACTCTGGGAAAACCATGGCAGTCTGCATCATTCACAGGGATTTTTAACAGCTCCAAAGATTTCCCTCAGTCCTCTCACAGCAACTCCCAGTGGTCAGACACAGCTGCCACCTGCACAAACCTGTGGGCAGTGAAGCCCAGTCTCCTCTGCACTGTTTGTTTTAGGAGAAAGGCACGTTTGGGGGATGATTTTACAGGCTTCAGAAGCAGGGACTCACCTAAAGTGCTGGATGTGAATGAACATTTCTCTCTCCAGCTGACACAGCCTAGGAGACTGGATGAGCACAGAGGGATAAAGGGAATGTGGATGTAGGAAAGGAGGGAATTGCCACAAGGAGACAGGCAGGGAGAGTGGGGCTGTGCTGAGCATGGCAAGGGAAGCCAACAGCAGGGAAGTTGCGAGGGAAAGGTGAAGGTCAAACTGAAATCTCAGTAACAGATGTGTGGGAAGGAAAGCAGAGAGCAGGGTAAAGCTCCAGAGCCAAGTAATGGCATGGGAGTTAGCAAAAACAGACCAGGATTTACCAGAAATCAACTGGAAATTCATCAAGAGCCAGGAATGGGTTGAGACTGGAATGAGAGGCCTGAGGAAGACAAGGTGAGCTGGGCAGGGCTGGAGAAGGGAAGAGAAGAATCTGCTGCTCCTCTGCACTCACCCCAATCGTTTATCTCACTATGCACCTGCTCCAAGCAGTGCCTGGGGAGCCCTAATGCTCCTCCACCAATTGCTCCTCTAAATCAAGTGGAAAAAGCCCAGCCAGGCAGAGAAAATTGCAGCCACATGAATTTAGAGTGTTGGTGATGGATCCAGGGAGCACAAACAGAGCGTGGCCTGATGGGCTCCTCATGCCTGGCCTTTGCCCTGGGTGGGAAACACAGCCCAGGAGTGACAATTGCAGCTGAAGCAGCAAATCCTCAGTCATTCAGAGAACAGCAGAACTCCTGACTCAGACTCCTTTCCAGCAGCACTTTGGACAAGTGCTCATTAACTCAGGGCACACTCTGCTCCCCCAGCCAGGCACACGAGGGTTTCCCTCTCCTGACAGATGTTACAGATTTCATTGCAACACAGCCTTGTCAGCTCTGCTTATTTTTGGAGCATCCCAGTGCTTTGGGAACATTGATTTTACAAGTCTGGCAAAGGCACAGAAGTAGGAATGTACAGCACCACTGACAAGAGGGGCCTGCCAGGGAAAAAATCACAGGGAATTGTGTAGCAGGAGTGGTGCCCATGCTCCAGCCTCCCAGCTGCCCTAAGGATTCCTGGAACAACTCACACCCTCTCCTTGCTGCCTCCCTACAAGAGAACAGAGCACTGAATCCTAGATCCTTCATTAAGACAAGACCTTAAAGCCCATCCAGTGCCACCCCTGCCATGGCAGGGACACCTCCCACTGTCCCAGGAGCTCCAGCCCCAGTGCCCAGCCTGGCCTTGGGCAGTGCCAGGGATCCAGGGGCAGCCACAGCTGCTCTGGGCACCTGTGCCAGGGCTGCCCACCCTGCCAGGACACAATTCCTAATTCCCAATATCCCATTCATCCCTGCCCCTTGTCCAAAGTCTCTCTCCATCTTTCCTGCAGCTCCTTCGGGCCCTGCAAGGCCACACTGAGGCCACCCCAAAGCTTCTCCTCTCCAGATGAACAATCCCAGCTCTCCAAGCCTCTCCTCCCAGCAGAGCTCCATCCCTGGGACCGTCCTGGTGCCTCCTCTGGACCCTCTCCAGCAGCTCCAGGTCCTTCCTGTGCAGATGTCCACACACACAGCCAAACCCCAGTGCTCACCTGCAGCAGGTCTCTCCGAATGGTTCTCAAAGGATTTCCCTCCAAGGCCAGGAATTTCAGCTGAGGGAGGTTCCCCAGGGTGTAAGGCAACCTGCAGAGGGGAACAACTGATTGATTCCAAAGCAGCTCCAAAACAACTGCTGAAGAATGTGCAGTGGCTGGTCAGAGGGGAACCTGAAGCTCAGGTTCAAAGGAAAAGATGAAGGATCCCAGATTAATTTAAGTTGGAAAAGTTCACCCAGACCATCAAGTCCAAGCTCTGCCCAATCCCCACCTTGTCCCCAGCCCAGGCTCTGAGTGACACCTCCAGCCCTTCCTTGGACACCTCCAGGGATGGGCACTCCAAAGCCCCCTGTGCAACCCCTGCCAAGGCCTGAGCATCCTTTCCATGGGGAAATTCCTGCTGGAGTCCCCCTGAGCTGCCCTGGCCCAGCCCGGGGCCGTTCCCTCTCCTCCTGTCCCTGTTCCTGGAGCAGAGCCCGACCCCCCGGCTGTCCCCTCCTGGCAGGAGCTGTGAGAGCCACAAGGGCCCTGAGCCTCCTTTGCTCCAGGCTGAGCCCCCTCAGCTCCCTCAGGGATTCTCCAGCCCCCTCAGCTCCTCAGGGATTCTCCAGCCCCTTCCCAGCTCCTCAGGGATTCTCCAGCCCCTTCCCGGCTCCTCAGGGATTCTCCAGCCCCTTCCCGGCTCCTCAGGGATTCTCCAGCCCCTTCCCGGCTCCTCAGGGATTCTCCAGCCCCCTCAGCTCCCTCAGCTGCTCCTCACAGCACTCCCAAGTCACACCTAAGCCTCAGGCAGAACACAGAACATTTCAAAAGTCCCAGTTTGATTTCAGCAATCCCACAACACACAGAGGGCTCCTTCATTTCCCAAGTCATTCCTGAAGTGCCCATGCCAGGGAAGGAAGGAGCTGCCACCACCCAGCCCCAGCCCAGGTGCCACTATTACCTACTGATGTCATTGTTGGCCAGGTCGAGTCTCTCCAGCTTCTGCAGCACCGTGATCTCCTCGGGCACCACCTTGATCTTGTTGTCCCTGAGCTCCAGCACACACAGGGAGCTCAGCTGTTTCAGATTCTCTGCATTCAGGATTTCAATCTGATTCTCCCCCGCGTGTAACTCCTATGGGAACAAAGAGCACCACAACTGGGCTAAAATGACTTCATAATTTATCTCCTAAATAGTGACATCAGCAGTCATCAGTATGATGATGTGGAGAATATGGACATCTTGATTCCCTTTCATCTGCCTACAAAATATCTGGATATAACTGGATTATGTTAAGAGGAAAAACAGTGTTTTTACTCCGTAGTTATGAAGAAAAAATTATAATGAACAAAGTGAATTTATCCAGAAAAAGTCCCCAGAATAAAAAATAACTGCTGCAGGCAATAATAGATCCAGCTTTCAGTCATTCCTCTCCTAAACACTTTTTATTTTCCAAATCTGGAAAGTCCTGCAAACTCATCTTTCAAAAGGTTGAATAATGAGGGCAGGAAGAGAAGCTGCACGTTAAACAGAGTTCTAAACACAGAGCTGTCATCTGGTTTTGATCACAGCACTTCTCAAAAAAAAAAAAAAAAGCTGGTGTTTAAAAGTAACTGTCCTTATTTCAAAGTTTACAGCAAATGCATTTCCAAGCCACCAGCCATTCCAAGCTCACCTTCAGCAACTTGCAGGAGGGAAGCTCTGGCAAGGAACGCAGTTTGTTTTTCCTCAGGTAAAGCTGCTCCAGGGATGCCATGGTTGCTAATTTAGGAGGTACTGTTTCCAGGTAATTTTTGGTACAATCCAGTTGTCTCAAGCCTGTGGAAATTGATGTCCAGTGACAAACAGAAAGAGGAAAAGATAACAGCATAATTGTCCTGGGGTTTAATTTAAAATAAACACAACATTTTGCCAAACAGATTCTAGAAGTAATTCTAAATTTTCTTGAGGGAATAGTAACTCTTTAAAGGTCTATTTTAAAACCTGCTCTGTGTTGCTGAACATAAGCACAGCATTGGTTGTTTGCCATTTAATAACCCAAGGAAAGTGATTTACTTTTCATGGCACTGAGATCTGCAGGCAGCTCCTTGAGCTGGTTACAGGCCAGGTTGAGCCGCAGCAAGTTCACCAGCAGAGCAAAACTGGTGGGGATGGCTGTGAGCTGGTTGTTGGACACATCCTGCACATGGAAACAGAGAGAGAGACATGAGAGGTGTCTGAAACATCCCAGGAGTGCTGCTAGTGCAAAGTTAATTAGTGGCAGAACAGTAAAATTAGATGGCTGACAACTGGCACAAGTGTGAGACAAGAAACAACTCCCCCAGGACTGACAGATCACCGGGGATTTCAGCTTTCCCAAAATATGTCAAACCAAGAACAAACTAAAACCAAACCCCACCCTGCAGTAACTGACATTAGAGCAGCCACTGCAGCATTCACCAAGCTCTGCCACTGAATCCCAGGGATTTTTAACGAGCAGCTAAGCTCTTTCCCAACACAGAAACAGGTCTGAAGCTGTGCTTTACCAGCTCCTCCAAGCTGAGGAGCTGGCCCAGCCCCTCGGGCAGCTGGCTCAGCTCGTTGTGCTGCACCAGGAGGCTCCTCAGGCGGGGCAGCTGCAGCAGCTCCTCGGGAAGGCTCCTCAGTTTGTTGTGGCTAGGGTGGAAACATGGAACACAAAAGGAAAGGAAAAACACTCAGGAGTTTTTAAGAATGTAACTGCACACAGAACATTGTGTGCCACAGCCTGCTGGTTAGGACACTGCCACCTCTAAGGAAAACCTAGTTCCTGGGAACAATTTATTATTATTTGTTCAAGAAGACTTTTAATCCTACTCTGAATTTACAACATTCCAGATGGATCTCAGGTTTTTTTGTTTATGTACTTCACACACGCAGTGATAGCATAACCTCTCCTGGTGCGCAAATTTACAAAATTACCCCAGTAAACAGAAGATTCTGAACCTTCCAGCACAAACAAGATCTACACAGTTATTTACACTGTGCATTATTCATGACTGGAAATGTTTTATCCCCAGAACTGCCAGACTGAAGCAAATAAATGTAAATAAATATTTTGTGTATCATTATTCAGAATATCACTCTTTGCACCTTCCAAACAATTGTGACTTTGAATATCAGTGAAAACAACTTCTAGAAACCCAAGGTCACCAGTCTTGATCCAAAATGGATAATATGACATAATATAATATATAATAATATTCTACAGTGAGTAAACTGGACTTAAGTTTTTGAAAGAAAGTTTGCTATCCTGCAATGTCTCACTCACACCCCAAAGTCACTGCAGCATTTCTCACATTTGCTCTGTAACATGGCCCTACCTGACATCGAGTTTCTGGAGATTTTCAAGTTGCCCTAAAGCAGAAGGAAGTGATGTCAGTTGATTGTCATGCACCTGGAAAAGAGAGGTTTTAGGACACAGTTACTAATTTGTACCTCGGAGGGGCTTTTTTCAGGCCTCCCCACCAATAAGAATTCCTCCCCAATATCCCATCTCTCCCTGTCCTCTGGGAGTGTGCGAAGCCATTCCCCCTTATCCTGCCACACCAGGCCCCTGTGAAATGAATACACGAGGGAAATGGAAAACAAAGATCCAGGACAACGTTTCCCCATGTCCTACAGGGAAGCACAGTCAGAGCACCAAGGGATCCCCATACTCACATCCAGCACGGTGAGGGCAGGCAGCAGCTGCACGTCCTCCGAGAGGCTCTGCAGCTTGTTGGAGGCCAGGATCAGCTTGGTCAGGTCCGTCTGCTCCCACCAGCGATCGGCAGCTCCGAAGGACAGGTTCTGCTGGGCTTCCTCCGGCGTGTCCAGGTTGATCCTCCACACGTGCTCGGGCACTGCGGCACAAACACAGCCGTCAGCTGAACGCCGCAGGTGTCTGCTGCGAAGTTTCACTGTCAGAGGGCTTTTTGTGTGCAAAACCATGGAGTGGGCTGGAAGGGACCTTAATGACCCTCTAGTTCCAACCCTTCTGCCTTGGGGGATGGCATATATAGAAATAGATAAATACATACGGATGCATACGGGCACAGACATATAATGTATACCTGTAGGCATCCATCTCGTGGGTACATATATAAAAACATACACAATATACATAAATATATATATATAGATGCACACATATATATAAAATACACACATCCCTGTAGTCACTCTCCAGTCCATTGTGACACATAAATATATATAATGTATATATATACATTCACACATATATATAAAATACACACATCCTTATAGTCACTCTGCAATCCATTGTGATACATATATATGCATTCACACATCCCTGTAGCCACTCTCCAGTCCATTGTGACACATATATATATAATGTATATATATAGATGCACACATATATATAAAATACACACATCCCTATAGTCACTCTCCAATCCATTGTGATACATACATATACATTCACACATATATATAAAATACACACATCCCTCTAGTCACTCCACTCCAACTCCTATAGTCCACTGTGTTCCAGAGACATTTTTGCAGCGGTATCGACACCAAGCCGAGGGGAACACGCCAGAAACAGATAACAGCGAGCAGATAACAGCGGGCCGGCTGCGCTCACGCACCGTGGGTGAGGCCGCGTCCCGCCAGGTTGAGCTGCCCGCTGCGCCGCGCCAGCCGCAGCAGCCCCCGCGGCACCGCCGGCTCGGCCGCCCGCCCGAACCCCGGCCCCGCGCCGCCTCCGCCCGCCCGCGCCCGCCGGGCCGCCGCCATCCCCGCACAGCCCGAGCGCGGCCGCGCCGCAGCCGCTCGCGGAGCCCGGGAAGGCGCTGCCCACAGCCGGAGCCGCGGAAGGCGCTGCCCGCAGCCGGGGCCGCCCGCAGCCGGGGCCGCCCTCAGCCGGAGCCGCCCGCCCGCCCCGCGGGCGGAGCCGGCCCAGCGCCGGCGCCGCCATTTCCCGCCCCGCCGTGCCGAAATGGAGCCCCGGGAGCGCCCAGGGTGCTCGGCTCAGCGCCCTGCTCGGGGTGCTGGACGAACAGCAAACCAAACGGCGTTTTCACACCCGTTTATTGCTTTTTGTTTTTTTGTTTTTTTGTTTTTTTTCCTTTCCACTGTAGCCTCCTGCGGGGCTCGATGATCTCCAGGGGCTGGTTCCAACCTCAGCAGAATCTCAGGACGGTTTGGGTTGGGAGGGATCGCATGGCTGGGGTGGAATGAGGTAATATTCAAAGTCACGATTGCTTGGAAGGTGCAAACGGTGATGTTTTGAATAATGATACACAAAATCTTCCACACCTCCCAGGCTGCTCCAAGCCCAGTGTCCAGCCTGGCCTTGGACACTTCCAGGGATCCAGCTGCTCTGTGCCAGGACTTCCCCACCCTCCCAGGGGTGGATTTCTCCCGAGGAAGAAGAAATCCCAGGAAAGATTCCTCTCCAATATCCCATCTAAACCACACATGGAACCAGCCCCGTGCCTGCAGATCGCACCAGCAGCTCCCAGTGAGGGGAAAATGCTGATAAAGGAAGGCGGTCCCGTGTTGGATTGTAGCTTCCTTCCTCTGAAACAGCACATCCGTGTTTCAAACGCTCCCCTCTTTGAAAAATGCCTCTACATCGGAATGAAAAGTAATTAGTAAAGGTTAAAGTACATTAGTCAAGTACGTAATTCGGGAAAGTCACTTCAGGCACTTACTCTTGACTAAGGATATTGGCCTCATTAGTCTTTTACCAGAGTTCTTTAATCTCCCCCCTCCTTTTCTTTATTTCTCCTCTCTCAGTGGAGGCAGAAACACACAGAAAATACTGGATATTTCAACTGATTTTTCTTTTAAACGGTGGTGCTTAAAAATGGGTTTTAAGGACTTCAGAGGGTGAATACTCTGTGCCTCAGGGCCCACTGTGTCACTTTCATCTCATTCGATGTTGTTGGATAACTGGGTTCCACATGGAACATTGCTGACAAATTCAAATCTTGAATTTAAATAAGCTTTTGGCAATTCAGTACAAGATACGGTATCTGTGACATTTCATAAGTGGAAACATGATACCTGCTAAGGGAGGACAGTGAGTGTCTCCTGCTTCATGAATCAGATGTGGTAGAATTTCAGCTTGAGTAATAAGTAAGGCTTGTTTTATTTACATTCAGGAACATTTATGGGAAACACATTAACATAAAGCAACAAACTAATCAGGAAATAGTATGATTTGTCCTATGTAAACTATGTAAACTGCAAATACTTTTTTTTTCTTTCTCCTTTCTAACATTAATAAGAAACTCTTCAGCAAAGGGGGCCTATAAAGAGTTACACAGCCTCCTTATCAGAAAAGACATTCTTCCACCTTCTCTCCGTCTTTTTGGAACCACCAAGATTAAGGAGAAGAAGTTGACAAAAACCAGAAAAGTTCTTAATTTGAAAGGAATTTATGCATCATGTATGAGATATACGAATATGCAACAGGCTATTGCTTTTAAGGTTATTCCTTTGTTCGCAAGGGATGCTTTTTGTGACTTAGTGTCTGAGAGCATCTGGACGTCCGTCATTCTTTGCTTTTTGTCTTGTAATTGTCCTAACTTTAAACTTTATCACTCTATTTGTATTATTATAACCATTTTATCATCATTAAACTTTTAAAATTTTAAAAACCAAGTGATTGGCGTTTTTCACATAATCATTTTATTATTATTAAACTTTTACAAAACTTAAAAACCAAGCGAGCGGCGTTTTTTCACACGCACTTAAGACCTGCCGGATCACAAACACAGAAAAGCGGAGAAGCCCGAACGCTACGGCACGGTGAGTTTTGTGAGGTTTGCCGTGCGAAGCGGCGAGGGACGAGGCGGCGGTGAGGGCCCCTCAGAGCTCCCCTCAGGGTTTCCCGCGCGCGGGCGCGGAGCGGGGCCGTGAGGGGAGGGGGGGGGGGGGAAACAGGAGCGCGCCCGGTGCGCGCACGCGCCGCCCCCCCCGCGTCCCCCTCCCCGCGCGCGTCCGGCGGCGCGGCGCAGGCGCGGGGCCGCGCGCGCGCAGGCGCGGCGCGGTGCACTGTGGGATACTGCGGCCCGGGCAGGCTGGTGAGGCGGCGCGCGCGGGGCCGGGCCGGGCCGGGCCGGGCCAGGGGGGAGCGAACCGGGCCAGGGAGAGCGAGCCGGGCCAGGGAGAGCGAGCCGGGCCGGAGGGAGAGATCCCGGCCCGGAGGGAGAGATCCCGGCCCGGGAGAGCGAACCGGGCCGGGGGCGGCGAACGGGCCCGGGGGCAGCGAACCGGGCCGGGTCAAGGGAGAGCGAACCGGGTCAGGGGGGGAGAGATCCGGGTCAAGGGGAGCGAACCGGGCCGGGGGAAGCAAACCGGGCCGGGTCAAGGGAGAGCGAACCGGGTCATGGGGAGGAGAGAACCGGGTCAGGGGGAGCGAACCGGGCCGGGGGAAGAGATCCGGGCCCGGAAGAGCGAACCGGGCCGGGGGCGGCGAGCCGGGCCGGGAGCAACGAGCCGGGCCCGGGGGCGGCGAACCGGGCCGGGTCAGGGGGGAGAGAAACGGGTTGGGAGCAGCGAACCGGGCCGGGGGCGGTGAAGCGGGCCGGGGGAGCGAACCGGGCCGGGGGAGCGAACCGCAGCGCTCCGCCCGCGCCTCAGCCGCCCCCCGCCCCCGCCGTGTCTGCTGCAGCACCGGCGGAGCGATGGCCTCCAGCAGCGGCACCGACGTGATCCAGGTCACCAACGTCTCGCCCAGCGCCAGCTCGGAGCAGATGCGGACCCTCTTCGGCTTCCTGGGCAAGATCGAGGAGCTGCGCCTCTTCCCCCCCGAGTGAGTGCGGGCCCGGCCCGGCCTCGCCGCCTCCCCCTCCGTCCCTCCCCCGCCGCCCGGCGCCGCCTCCCGCCCGCCCCCGCCGCGATCCCGGCCCCGCTGCCGGGGATCGCCCCCGGGGGCTGCGGGGGCGGCTCTGGCTGCGCACCCCGAGTCCGGTGTGCCCTGCTCGGTCGCGGGGCGTGGAGCGACTCGTGCGGCTCCGGTGGAATCCGCGTTTGTCTCCTGGAGTTGTTTGTTTGTTCAGGGTTGTACCCGCTGAGCCTCTGCTGTCTTCCTCACCTCCACCAAAACTTCTAGGTGTAGATAAATGCGTTTCGTTGCAAAGAAATTTTTGCTAGAAGAGCAGCTTACCCCCAATCTGCAAAGAATACACTTCTAATATTTGTGTTCCTTGAAACAAATCTGTGCTGAGCGGAGAGGAAACCGCTGACAAATACACATTTGTCAGTTGTGCATCTTGCAAGGAATTCTGTGCAATTTCAACGAATAATGCACATTTCAAGCGTGTATATAACTGAAAAGAAAGTTTCTGTCACCCCAGCTATTTACAAATAGCCACAAACAAAACAAATAAGACAGTTTTTATATCTTCACTTGCAGTTAAGTTCTAATGAACATAAACAGTGCTTTCTGATGCAATATAAAACCTGGGTGTTAGCAGTGCTGGTGGTTTCAGTTTGATTGATTTACAGAGCCTGGTGTCATTATATGTTGGTGTTTTGCATATTCATTATATAAATTAAAGGTTTTCTTTCTGCTCTGTTGAAGATTAATCAAACAATCAATTATTTGTAATTACCCAAAATTATTTGGGATTTTTATTTTAGGGGAAAAAAACTATAGCAGAGCATCTTTTTTTCCTCATTGAGCTTCCATCCCTGGTAGCACAAACCAAAGGCAGTTCCAGAGGGAGTTTCCTTGTTCCCACCTGGGATAACTGACATGGCAGGAGCTTACCTGTGGCAGGTGCAGTCCTTTCCTGGCCTACTCTGTGTTTGAACACTTGGGCTCACTTTTCAGGGAGCTTGTTGGAGGTGATTTATGTGTCTGAAACTTTGTAGCTTTTAAATATACGTTAAAAGCTTAATGTATACACATTAAAGATACACGTTAACTAATCTGTTCAGGGATTGCTGCCGTGCCTTGGTGTCCTTTCCCTTGTGTGAGGAGCTCAGCCCCAGGGGGTTTTCCCTGCACTGATGGCAATGTGCTCTGGGTCACTTCACCCCAGAGAAAGGGACATTTTCTGATAGTGCCACGTTCTTTTTCTGCTCCTTCTCCCTCAAATTCCAGCTCCCGACTTTTCCCTTCCCATGGTGCCCATCCATTTTTGGAAGAGTATGGGATATAAATCATAATCTGTGAATTCTCCCCATAATCTGGATTCCTTTCTGGATCCTCCTGGGATTCTCTCTTGCCTGTAGTATTTGAGGAACCAATCCTATTTCCTTTGCTCCACCTCCTTGTTTGGTCTGTGTCACTCTGACTCTGCTGTAGAACTTCCTTATTCTCCTGCTCTTCCAGATCATGTGTCATTTCCTGAGCTTCTCCCAATTCCTGGTTTTCCTTCTCTGCCCTCGTCCACCTCCTTTTCCCAGTTTATTTAATCCCTTGCTTCCCATTTATTGTGCTCCTGAGCTGCATCTTTAATGCACAGCCAACTTCGGGACTCCTTCCAATTCTCCTCCTCCTCCTCCTGTTTTTCCCTGACTCCATTGCCTGGTTCTCATCTTGATTATATTCCATAAAACTCCATCCAGACTGGAAAGTGGAGGGAGTGGATGTCTGAGTTTCCTGCATTGCAGCCCCAGGAAATCCTTGTGTGTCCCAGCATTCCAGTGGCTGAGGGACAATTCCTGAACGCTTCAGTCTTGGGTGAATTAGAATAACGATGGTTGGTTTTTTTGGGAGCTGTTGAGAACATCCAGTTCTTGTTGAATTTCACCCAGCTTGGATTTGAGAGTGAGTG